TAAATAAAGGAATTATCTTATCTTGTCTTTTGAGATAAAGTTTTATTAATTTATGTTTCACATTATTGACAAAGATCCATTACTGTCCCTTTCTGCAGGACAATAAAGACTTGGAGTTGGACATTATCCCCGCCAGCCTGACAGACGACCCCGAGGTCAAACTGCGTGACCCCAACCACGAGGTCAACGAGGAAAAGAGGAAGTCCGCCAGGAAGAAAGAGTGAGTACAGGAATTAGAGTTGGGACTGAGACGATCCAGTGTCTGTATCAGATGCCGGTACTGACATAATTCACATATCGGACATCGAAATGACGTCACAGATCCTCATACAATCCAGATTCCATAGTCTGATGGTTTTGTGTAAAGTCCACACAGAGATTCAGATATCCAAATTCAGGTATCAGAATTGGATCAGATCTCAATTGTGACAACTGTCTTACATGGAAACCCAAAACAAATACACAATATAGTTATAATATAGCTGCAGTAAATCACTCTATTCAACCAAACTCATTCCTATTCACTCCTAAGACAGTGGGAGTAGATAGAATCTATAATATCTGTCTTAATAATGGAGATCATCTGCATCCCATAGCTTTCCCAAAGTTCAGAATTACATCATAGACACATCTTTGTGCTTATAGCATCATTTACAATGTTCCAAATCTTCTCTGCAGCCTCCTGAAATGGTTTTATCTTGTTATGAATAAAAGTCTTGGAGGAACGTCAACAGGCTCATGTGGCCATGGAAGAACCAGACACAGATTCATTCAATCATGCCATTTGATCCCTGTTTGCGATAGTCTAAACTGTTTTCTTGTCTCAGGTTCATCATGGCAGAGCTTCTACAGACAGAGAAGACCTACGTCAGAGATCTACATGAGTGTCTGGAGGTGAGAAAAAGCCTTCTGCTTGTCCCAGGTTTGTTTTGATTGGGCACATACCTTTATGTCTGCCTTACTTGTGTGTCTGTCTGCCTACCTCTCAGACCTACCTGTGGGAGATGACCAGTGGCGTGGAGGAGATTCCTCCAGGCATTGCCAACAAGGAGCACATCATCTTCGGCAACATGCAGGACATCTACGACTTCCACAACAAGTGAGAGACACAGGATGGATGAGCCAGTCTTCCACCAATTTTACACTTTCTGAAAGCTGCAAAGACATGGGAATTCCCTAGCAACCAGCACACAGCATAGCGACAACCATAGCATATCTGTATTTTCAGCTCCAACAGCATCTAAGCAAATAGTGCTCAGTTAAACATCATTGCAGGCAATTTTGCACATTTGTCAGCGATGAGACAACTTTCCTGCAGTGGAAATGCTCTTAACTGAGGGGAACTTTCTGTGTTTATTTCTAATATTGTAGCTACAGGGAAACTGAGGGAGTGTCTTTGAGGTTTGCCTTCATAGACATTTCCTAAACTCCAAAGGTTCCTCTGAGGAACTCCCTTGTTTTCTGATCTCCTTGCAGTACCTCTGGAGATTTGTGTGCTGGCTCCTTAAGGAAACCTTTTCTTGTACTCACCAACTCCATTTAGATCTTAAAGGAACTTTCTAACCCACTGGAGTTTAGAATCAACTTTTTAGGGGTTTCAGACATTTTTTGGCTGTCTTCCTGCTACGTTTTGAGAACAGCCAGATCATAGGATACGATCATTTTTCATTTAGAAACAATTATTTTCATATAAAACATTTTTTAAGTTGTGATCTGTGTGTTTGTGTATTTCCAGTATTTTCCTGAAAGAGCTGGTGAACTATGAGCAACTACCAGAGGATGTCGGTCACTGCTTCGTCACCTGGGTGAGAGTTAGCATTTATTTAAGATGGCAGTGACCTTTGACCCCTGATTTCTGTCCTTTTCATAATAAGGGGGTGGGCTTAAATAAAGCACAATAAAATGAATGACCCTGAAAATTTCAAACATTTTCTCCTCTCCTCTCCTCTCCCTCCCCTCCCCTCCCCTCCCCTTACAGGCTGATAAGTTCCACATTTATGTAGATTACTGTAAGAACAAACCTGACTCCAGCCAGCTCATACTGGAGCATGCCGGCACCTTCTTCGATGTAAGTAAACCTTTATTCTGCCACAGATCTTTTCATGTCATGTCATCACATGAACAAAACATTTGAATCCATCTAATCATCAGAAAAACATTCCAAATCAAAATGTGTAATGTAAGCACCTCTGTCTGGGTAAGATTAAAATGACAAATGTTCTTTCAGTATGTTCAGATGTCTAATGCATTCTCTTCTGCACATGCTCGCTCCAGTACCAGTTTCAGGGAAATAAACAGATACTCTAATAACTAAAGCAGTAGTGAATCATGAGCAAAGACACAGCGGCTAACCAATAGGAGCATGATGCAGGGCTTTTGTTATGATGGATGCTTATTGTGGAGCATGAACAATAAACAATTGGTTGTGTACAGCTGCAGGTTTCTCATTCCCCTCCTGTAGTTTGCCTACTTTGTCAGCAGATGGTGCTGTTTGATCATTGCAAAATAGGAACAATTAACATTCATCACAATTTGTATTTCTTTGACTTTATTTTGGTATAAACAGGACATTCAGCAGAGACGTGGACTGGCTAACTCCATCTCCTCCTACCTCATCAAACCAGTCCAGAGGATCACCAAGTACCAACTATTGCTTAAGGTGCATACACAAACACTCAACTCGAAATCTTTACACAAAGAGTGAACATCTGGGCCAAATTACATGTACAAAGAAGATATGAGGGAGAGTTATGCATGTATGTAGTACAAATGTGGAGATAAACTACAGCACATATTTTCACTCATATTCCTCTCATTGTGCAGGAGTTACTGTCTTGTTGTGAGGAGGGTAAAGGGGAGATTAAAGATGGTTTGGAGGTGATGCTCAGTGTTCCCAAGAGAGCCAATGATGCCATGCATCTCGCCATGTTGGAAGGTGAGATACTGCATCCACACTGCTGCACTAAAATGTATAATAATGCCATTACTTGTGTTCTTATTAGAATTGAATATATGTCTGGAAAAAGATTTCTGAACCCATAAAGGAACATGCAACATGAAATTCTTGAATTTCCGTCAGGATAAATAAAGTATTTATCTATCTATCTATGCCTGTAGTGATCAGATTTAATGAATGAAAATATTTTAATCCATTAACCGCTGACCATTTCCTAGACATACCATAAGATTGTTTTATTTGCTATCACACCTAATGACTGACTGTACGTTCAGACTTGGTTGATATTAAGTCTTGGTCTTCCTCTTGCTCAGGCTTTGAGGAAAACCTAGAGGTGCAGGGCGAGCTGATCCTGCAGGACAGTTTTCAGGTCTGGGATCCACGCTCGCTGATCAGGAAGGGGCGGGACCGACACCTCTTTCTGTTTGAGTTCTCCCTGGTCTTCAGCAAGGAGATCAAAGACTCGGCTGGCAGGACCAAGTACCAATACAAGAACAAACTACTGGTGAGAGTCTGTGTGTGTGTGTGTGCAGCAGGTGTGTATCAGACCTGCTGTCATCTGCTATTTTTATCCTGTGTGTGTGTGTGTGTTTTAATCAAATGGACTGTTAGCTGTCATTGACATTCTTCTTCCCTCCCACCCCACAGACGTCAGAGTTGGGTGTGACCGAGCACATTGAGGGCGATCCGTGTAAATTTGCCCTGTGGGCGGGAAGAACCCCCTCCTCTGACAATAAAACTGTGCTAAAGGTGAGTGACACTGAAATGAAAACAGTTTTATGTCCTCTGATTGGATGTGTGCTGATTAAATGATTAGACGGTTTACTGGTTTATAATCATAGTTATTCTGCTGTTTCTCCTCCAGGCGTCCAGTATGGAAGCTAAACAGGAGTGGATTAAAAACATCAGGGAGGTGATCCAGGAGAGGATGACTCACCTCAAGGGGGCACTCAAAGAGCCTCTTCACATGCCTAAAGCACCAGCACTGACCAAACCCAGGAATAACACCAAGAGGTAAGCAAGGAGACATACACACACACTATGTTGATTCAGGAAATAAGTGCTTACAAAACATACATCGGTGCAGTCAGTACCCAGCTGAATACTATTGTGAAGGTGCTTTTGTAGTAAGGGTCCAAAATGAACACCCGCCAAGTGCCAGATACGGGTTGATTTGGGGTTTGCTAGAAAATAAACTGGGGTTGGTAAATAATTTGGAGTCACAGCATAGGGCCAGGTTTACGTCACTGTGTTTTTTCTGTACCCGCTGAACCTCACTTCCCACTGTACTTGTCATGACGTCAGCCAATCAGATCAAAGCTACTATTACTACTACTATTTGGCACTTTCCATATGTCTGTATATGTTTTTGCCGTTAGAAACATCTGTGTTAAATGTTATTAGAGATGTGACGTCGTCGTGAGATTACCAAGTCTACGTGCCAGTGATGTGACTACCACAAAGTTTAATGTTGGCAGGCTACAGTATGGGTCCCCAGCAATTAATGGCTGAATGCCAACTTGCATACCATGGACAATTTTCATTATTTGTATTACTTAGCATAATCACCTATATGGACAACTGGTGTGTTGATTTGGACAATATTGGAGCGGTTTTACAGTTTATTGTTGCTGAATCTATTTCTGACATTTTTAAAATTCAAAATGGCCGTTTAAACCAGAAGTTCATTACATTAGTAAATATTAATATAGCATCATGGAATCATTAAACAAACTTCAAAAGACATGTAGAAGAGGAATGATATGAAATTCTTTCAGTGAAAGCGCAGCCAGTAACGCGCCTGTCATTTGAGCAATCACTCCTCAGACGCTTATGCAACAAGAAGATTTAGGATTTGACTCTTTCCCACCTCCACTGTTGCCACAACTGGAAGTGTCATCATTGTAAACAGTGGCACTGCGGGCAGAAACCTTATCACCGTGGTAAAAAGTGTCATCGCAGCCGTTTGACACCTTTCCACAATTTAAAACACTGTGGTTATATGGTCCCATCTACAACATCAGCGTTGTCACATTCTCACTCTGAATCTGTTTGTGTTTGCCAGTGATTTAAAGAAAAATACTCATTCTGATTGTGTGTGTTCAGGGAGGGAGGTGAAGATGGAGACAGTCAGGGAGACGGCAGCAGCCAACCAGATACCATCTCCATCGCCTCCAGAACGTCCCAGAACACTGTAGACAGCGACAAGGTAGGAAACACTCACCCACATACAGAGCTGCTGTTCGCTTAAGGAAAGAAAAGGAGTTGAATGCACCTGATTGAGACTCACTCTCTGGCCTGTGACGAGCTGATGACCCACAGATGTCTCAGCGCTACAGGGTCTCCCATCCAGCTACAATGGGCAAGAGCAAGGGCTGTGTGTGTGTGTGTGTGTGTGTGCAGAAAGACTGTGCTTGTGCCAACTGTGGGAGACACATGCAGCACCATAATTGTGTGCTTTCTAGTGTGTCATGCTTATCCTTAAGTTTACGTGTAGGTTTAGGTTATATGTATCATGTGTTGACGCGTGTGTGTAGTTGATGTGTGTGTATGAGAAGTATCTAGCCATGTCACCATATGAACAGAGAAGCAGTCGGCGATGAAAAACCTCTTCAGGTTGTGTGCAGGCGTCTGTGCTAATGCCTCGTACCAACCAGCCTCTCACATCCAAGTAAGCCCATCTTTGAACTTTTATTTGACGGTCAACCAAAAGTTAAGTGCAGAAATAATAAGAAGGAGCACAGAAGAAGTCCTAGAACGTTTAACCCACTTTGAACTGCAGCTCGATTAAAACATTCAATGAAATGATAAAACAATCAGAAAACTATTAGAACTGGTCAAATGTAACTACATTGGGTGATTGCGTGTATGTTGAATTACAGTATGACTCCTAGTGCTTTGTTGAAAGGTGTTTGTCTGTTTTGTAGAGCAGGTTTGTTTGATTTAAAATGTACAGTTTTTGAATGGAGTTTGGTTTAGCAGTCGTGTTGGTTGTTCTGATTCCAGACTTTTATAAGTTGTTTTGGTTTGAACTGGTTGTTGTCCACTGTTACTACAGTACCTCCCTTTTCACTGCTACACACACACACACAC